GAAAAAACATAAACCCAGATGGTGTACCATTCTATAGAGTGTGCTTGGATACTTCAAAAACACCAACATTTCAGCCTAGCGCAGTGGCTCATGCCTAAAATCCCAGCACTTTGGGAGGCCGAGGCAGGCGGAGCACGTGAGGTCAGGAGTTTGAAACCAGCCTGGCCAATATGGTGAAACCCCGTCTCTACTAAAAATACAAAAATTAGCCAGGCGAGGTGGCTCATGCCTGTTAATCCCAGCTACTTGGGAGGCAGAGGCAAGATAATCACTTGAACCCAGGAGGTAGAGGTTGCTGTGAGCCAAGATCATGCCACTACACTCCAGCCTGGGTGTCGCAGTGAGACTCTGTCTCAAAACAAACAAAATAAACCAAAAAAAACAATTAAAAAAAAAAATAATAAAACACCATCAGCATCTCGAAAAACAAAACCAACAAAGTAGGGAAATTTTGATTTGTAAAGAGACTAGAAGGACATGGTGGCCTGGCACGTTGGCTCACACCTGTGATCCCAGCAATTTGGGAGGCCAAGGCGGGAGAATCACTTGAGCCCAGGAGTTTGAGACCAGCCTGGGCAACAAACTGAGACTCCATCTCTACAAAAAATTTTAAAATTAGCTGGGCATGGTGGCATGTACCTGTGGTCCCAGCTACTTGGGAAGCTGAGGCAGGAGGATTGATTGAGCCCAGTTGGTTGAGGCTGCAGTGAGCCATGATCACACCACTCACTGCACTTCGGCCTGGGCGGCAGAGTGAGACCCTGTCTAAAAAAGAAAGAAAAAAAACCAGACAGACATGGTAACTGAAAGCAGTGACTGATCCTTAATGGGATCCTGGATGGATAAAAGGGAAAAGGTGTAAGGGACAAGGTTGTGAGGGCACCTGGCGTATGGACTGTGCTTTAGGCCATATTAATATGTGCACTGAGTGTTCTCCTGGGTAAAGGAGGGGCTCCCTGGAACATTCCTTTCTTAAGTTTGAGGGTGGTGATGGTGTTGTTGTGCAGGAACGTCTTTGTGCCTGGGAGTTGCGTGATGTGTTTTGCAGTGAAATATCAGTGTATGCCACTGACTCTTAGATGGCTCGCAGGGAAAACGATGTGTATGTATCCGAGAGGGATAATGCCCTTATGAGCGAAATATCGGTAGTCGGTGATTCTGGCCGCCGGATATGTGTTCATTATTATACTGTTCGTTCAGTGGAGGGGGCATCTTCTCTACTGCTGTGCCAGGAGGGCTGGGCGTGGGGGTCCAGATTCTGTACATCAGACACCCCTACCCCATCTTGTGCTTAATAGAGAGTGCAGGATCCCTCCTGAGACCCTAATCTAACCCTCAAGTCCCTTCCCCTGCCACAGGAGAAGCAGGCTCTGAAAGGCTTAGGGTCCATCCCCAATCCCCATGGCCCATCCGGGAGAGCTGGCTGCTGGCTGCACCCCTGAACTTCTGCTTCAATGCCTGATGCAACCGGAAACCTCTTCACTTACCCTTCAAGTCACCGCCAGCTGGGTTTCAGGGTAGGGGTAGGTCTGGGAAGGTGCCAGCCCCGGAGTTAATCTGAGCCACCTGTGGTCACCAGATGCTCCGTCACCACTAACAGGTGTATTGGGGTCTGGCCACAGTTGGGATGGGCTCCCAGGGACCTCTCTGGGGAGGGCAGGGCAGCCTGAACAAAGCTGCTGGGAAGGCAGGGTCTGTGCATCCACTGGGCCTGAGGTCATGAGCTTCTTGGCTGGGTTGGGCCAAGGGAGGAGACCAGGAATCTGTGGCTCCAGAGCCTGGCCAGAGAACTTCCTAAAAGGCATGTTCCGGCCCAGTGCGGTGGCTCACGCCTGTAATCCCAGCACTTTGGGAGGCCAATGGGGGCTGATCCTGAGGTCAGGAGTTCAAGACCAGCCTGGCCAACAGGGTGAAACCCCATCTCTACTAAAAATACAAAAATTAGCCAGGCATGATGGCAGGCGCCTGTAATCCCAGCTACTCAGGAGGCTGAGGCAGGAGAATTGCTTGAACCCTGGAAACCCAGGAGGCAGGGGTTGCAGTGAACCAAGATTACACCACTGTGCTCCAGCCTGGGTGACAAAGACTGTCTCCAAAAAAACAAAAAAAAGGCATGTTCCTACCACCAGGGCTCGGCACCTCCTGCTTCTGTGTGGACTGCGTGCCGTTCCCTCCCCCAAAGCTGGCTACCCACTCATCCTTCCAGTCTCTACCAGAACACTCCTTCCCAGGTTGGGTTTGGCAGTCGCCCTGCGGGGTCCTGCAGCCTCATTCTGCTGTGTCTTGTTTTTCACCACCTGTCGTTGACTTGACCTTGTCTGTCACGTTCAGTATGTCTCCCTCACCAGAGTGAGCTCTGCCCCAGCACTGGGCCTGTAGAGGTGCTCTGGAGATGCACTCAGGGCTTGCACCCGACAGAGTGGCAGCAGCCACAAGGCAGGGGGATACTGAGTACCACGCCCTGGAGAATGTGCAGACTGTGGATCTGTGGGGAGTGTAAACTGTCCTCTAGGGTGGTCTTTATCAGCCTATCCTTGCTTCTGTGATAGCGTCTATCTTTCAAGGGTTTATTTCAAACAGGAAGCTGGTAAGTGCACACTCATTTTCGGGAGAAGGGACTGTCAGCCCCGTCTTCCTGCCCCAGATCACAGAGCTGGCATGTGACAGCTGGCATCCTGGCTGGCACTCGCATCAGGCTGTCTCCACAGAGCTTGCCTTTTGGGGGGGGTCTGGCTCAGTTTCCTGGGCCCACTCTGCTCATCCCCCTGCAATAATGCCACAAGCCCTTGGTACACGTTACCTCATTTATTCTCACAACATGCCTGTGAGGTAGGGAGGGGCAGGGACTGTCCCCGTTTTACAGAGGAGGAAGTTGAGGCACACAGAGGTCAAGTGACTTGCCCAAGGTCACAGACGGCGGCCAAGCTGGAAATGGGCCCCGGAGCAGGCCCTTGGTTCACCTGGGGGAGTCCCCCCTGCAGCAAGCGCCAGCCAAGAGGATGTCTCGGATGCCAGAGAGGCGCATACACAGCGTAGAGCAGCCCCTCGGGTACTGAGCTGGCTTCGGGGCTGAGCCCCTGCCCTCCCCCACCCCGCCCTGCAGGCCCAGGCTATTGCAGCTCAGGGCTCGTGACACCATGGGAGTGGGATTGGGGGGCAGGAGAGAGAGAAGGATAATTGGGGTAAAAAAAAAATTGAAAACTCAGAGGCTGGGCAGATGGGCCCTTGGGCGTAGGGGGGAGGGGGTGGAGACCAAAAATAAAAGAGGGCTGCTTACACACAAGGTATGTATTTTTACACACACTTGTACACACACCTAGATATAGTACGTGTAAAAATATATGCTATTCACACACCCGCCTCCTGCCAGGTGCCCCGAGAGCCAGCGGCGGCGGCGCTGGGTGGGCATGGGTGAGCAGATGGGCGTTTGTTAAATATACACTCTAAGGTCTATGTGCATATGTACACATACATACAGACACCGCCGCCCGCCCCTCGGGCACCAGACACAGGCGCGGCTGAGGACAGCCCCTTGGAAGCCACTCTGAGTCCTAGATTTTGCTGAAGGAAGAAGGGGCTGGAGAGAATAAAAAGGCGGGAGTCTGGAGTGTGGTAACTGTGGCTACGTCTCATTTCCCCCTCCAAGACTAAAACCTCCCTCATCTGCTCAGTGGTGAGTCCTGCCTGACACTGCCCAGGGCTGGCGGGGCACCTCCCAGTGAGGCGCCTCCATCTGCGTGTGTGTGCGCGCATGTGAGGTTGTGTGTGAGCACTTGGCGGGGGAGGGAGGGGACGCGTGTCCATCTCTCTGTCCTCTGGGCCCTCAAACCGCAGAGAGGGCTGAGACCCAGAAAGCCGCTTGCCACAATGGTGACCACTGTGTGAGCTCTGAAGGGAAAAGAGAAAAACATAAGAATGAAAATCCAAGGTCAGAGCGGGGGGTAGCCGGGGAAAGGAGGAGGGAACATGGCAGGTGCCCAAGGCTGCCCTTGGACTGTCGTCGTCTTGTAAACAAGCTAGTGTGAGTTCTCGTCAGATAGAAGGAGTAAAAAGACCGCAGTCTGGAGGCTGGGCCGGGAGTTGCCGACGTCCATCTATCTAGTCCACCACGGCCAGCAAGAGGAAAAAAAAGTTTTCTAGTTTCGTGATTTTTGTTGATTTTTTTTTTTGTGAGTAAAATTTTCATAACCTAAAGCTGGGAGGGACCCAAAAAAGCCAAATGTGAGCCCTTGTATGCGTCAATTTGAAAGTTGGCTCAGGGTCTCTAGACAGAATAATCATAGCAAAGGTTGAGAAAACTCTGTTCCATTCGCACTTAGTTTTTGTGGTTTTAATGATTTAAAATCATTTCTTTCCTCCTGCACGGTCTCAGAGCCTGGTCTGGGCCTCCGGGACATAAATCTCGATGCTGTCTGCACTCTCGGTGGCTGAGTTCTGCCGCACAGAAGCTGCCCGCTTCGCCGCCAGGAGTCTCTTGCGGGCCTCCTGGCGCTGCTTGTCGCTGGCGTCTGAGGCCTTGTCGCGGCTCACTGCCGGCTTGGATTTGGCTGGCTTCTTCGGGACCGGAGGGGGTGGTTTCTTCTCTTCCTTTAGTGAGACAGTGAGGAGGGAACAAAAATAAAATAAAGGTGCCACGTTGTGTGTGGCGCTACCCCCACCATATGCTGGCAGCTGGAGTCTCCACCCCAGCTTCCCCGCATCGGGCACAAGCAACACACACTTGGAATCAGGAAGCCACGAGAAGTGATGACAGTGGGAAGAGCACAAGGCACAGGAACGGAAAGCAAGCCTAGACTCCGAAGGTGCTTGAGCAGCAGGATGGGCAGATCCCCGTGTCCACCCTCATGTTGAACCACCAGGAGCTTGAGACTCAGGCAGGAGCTAGCCAGAGTACAGTCAGAGACTTAAATTTAGGGCCTCGGGTCCCATTTTACAGGCTATTCTAGGGGAGCAGACAGGGCCATGGTTCAATAGGGGTCACTGGTTCTGTTGGTTTGCAGAAAGAGGCCTCAGGGAAGAGGCTGGCTACCAAGAAGTCACAGAACTGGCTCCAGACCCCAGGACTCCTGGCAGCAGGGCCCCAGGACAAGGGACCACTTTGCTACCTCCTCTGTTATAACGTGACTGAGGCTGTGGGCGTGCCTCTCCCAGGACCCCCTTTTCTGGACATGCAGGGCAGGACACATGCTTCAGGGGCAGCCTCAACTATACGGAGCAAGCGGCATGCTAGACAAGTGCCAAGCATGGACCCCACGCAGTGATGGACGTGAGCCCCCAGCTCAAAGACGACACACGGAGAAGGGAGCCAAGCAGCACTGACCGATGTGGGCAGCGTTATTGCCGACCAGGAATTTGTCCCTGGACTTCCCCTCCGCACTGCTCCATGCTCACCTTCCTCTTCTCGGGTGTCTCCACCAGCTGCCAGCTGTTGGCCTTGAGGTGGTAGAGTTCATCGAACTTCATGCTGATGTCCTCGATGGACAGCTGTAGCAGGTCCCAGAACCCTGCCAGGTCCTGGGCTGTGGGGCGTGGGTTGGCATCAGGGTTCTGTGGGCCAGATGGGGATCAGTGGGGCAGGCTCAGCAGAGGCTTGTCCTGCTCACCCGACCTCCCCGTCTCCGACCCCGCCATCTCCGCTTCCCCCGCCCCGCGCCCTGCTGAAGCATGTTTCCTCTGGCCCCACCAGTACCCAAGGGGGCTCTTGAGGCCTAGTGTCTGGGTCAGTATCTGTATGAATGAATCTAAGCCACTTCTGGTCAGCACCAGCCTTAGTGGTGGAGATCCTTGGGGATAGCCTATAAGGCTGTGGTGAGGAAAGCACTCCTGTCCCTAATGTATGCCAAGCAGACAGTTGTTTTGCAAGGAAGAAATACAAGTTTTTGGCCATGGTGTGTGTGACACCGATTGCCCCATTCACTCCCAGGTGGGGAAGATCACGGAATCCGTGTTGTCTCCCTCGTGTCACTCTGTTCCATGACAATGCAACCCCCAGGTCTCTGCAGGTCTTGGAGACAAACACTCTCCACTGCATCCCGCTGGGAGCACACAGATTCCCACAGGCAGAACAGCCCAGGACTTTGCTTTTGACCCCAGCAGGGCCAGCCCTCCTAACAGGTAAGAGGGAGGGAGAAAGCCAAGCCACCAATCCCAGCAGTGGTATTTCTTTAGTTCTTACCTTGAATGTCTTCTTAGATACAGAAAAAATATACATATATATATATAATTTTTGAGACGGAGTTTTTGCTCATTGCCCAGGCTGGAGTGCAGTGGCGCGATCTCAGCTCACCCCAACCTCCACCTCCCGGGTTCAAGCGATTCTCCTGCCTCAGCCTCCCAAGTAGCTGGGACTACAGGCATGCGCTCTCGCCCCCTTTCTTGTGCTAGACACTGACACACATTGCCACTGTCCTTCCAACCCCATGAGGAAGCCGCACTGTTTGTTACAGAGGAGGGCACAGAGGCTTCACGGGGCTGGCAGAGTGTAGTGGGCAGCCAAAGGCTGGAAGCCCTGCTGTGGAGGAAGAAGAATCACACTCACCAAGTTTTGCTCACAGAGGCCCCGGAACTGCTGGAATTTCTGGGACATCAGTAGCTGGGCACTGCCCACTGCACTGAGGACTTTTCCTAAGACTGAGAAGCAGAGGGTGGGAAGACTGATTTAGCACAGCACAGCATTTGTGGGGACGGCATCATGCTTTCTCCCCCCGCACTCCCTTAGGGTAGAACTCATTATTTCATGATGGTGGTGGTCTTCATTTTACCTACACATTAGTCCATTCTCATTGAGAAAAACATAAACAATATAAAGTGAACCCCATCCCATTTCCTGAGGATATTTTATGGCAACAAATATGAAAACTGAGTATAAATGTAAAACATTTTCCAGAAAAACATAAGAAGGTCTTAAGAAAGAGAGGCCGGGTACAGCGGCTCACGCTTATAATCCCAGCACTTTGGGAGACTGAGGGGGATCACCTGAGGTCGGGAGTTAAAGACCAGCCTGGGCAGCATGATGGAACCCCATCTCTACAAATACACAAAAATTAGCTGGGCATAATGGCAGGTGCCTGTAATCCCAGCTACTCAGGTGGCTGAGGCAGGAGAATCATTTGAACCCAGGGGGCAGAGGTTACAGTGAGCCGAGATCGTGCCACTGCACTCCAGCCTGGGTGACAGAGCGAGACTCAATCTTTAAAAAAAAAAAAAAAAGAAAAAGAAAAAATTTGATTAGACTCAAATATTTTTAAGAAACTGAAGCAGAACTCTTCTCAGAAAAGGAACTAGGTCTAAGTTTTACAGCTGAGGTATTAAAAACTTTCAAGGAACAGGAAATCCCCTTTTTATATATTCTGTTCCAGAGATTAAATAAACATGGAAAATGATGCAACTTGTTTTAGGAACTCTGACAGCAGATAGGACATGCCAAGAATGGACCACTTTCACTAACATAAATGTAGGAGTCTTAAAGTATAAACAAATAGGATCTATCAGAAGAATTGTAAAAAAATAAACATCCTAATTGATAAGTATTTAACCCAGGAATACAAGGTTGATCTTGTCTTGTGACTTCCAGTTTTAAAGTGCTGGCATCAGCCAGGCATAGTGGCTCATGCCTGTAATCCCAGTACTTAGGGAGGCAGGAGGTCCCCGACAAAAACAGAAAAAATTAGCTGGGCACGCTGGGGTGCATTTGTGGTCCCAGCCACCTGGGAGGCAGAGGCTGTGGTGAGCTTGGACCATGCCACTGTACTCCAGCCTGGGTGACAGAGTGAGGCCCCCTGCCTCAAAAAATCATAAAGTACTGGCACAGCCGGGCACTTTGAGAGGCCTAGGCCACGTGGTAAAAGCCCATCTCTACAGAAAATACAAAAATTAGCCAGACATGGTAGCATGTGCCTATAGCCCCAGCTACTTGGGAGGATCACTGGAACCAGGTAGATTGAGGCTGCAGTGAGCTGTGATGACAGCATTGCACTCCAGCCTGAGTGACAAAGTGAGACCTTGCCCCCACCACACACAAAAAAGGTGCTGGCATAAAGACAATGCTACCCATCCCCAACCCCCTTAGAAATCACTGAAAAGCAAACAAAGTAAACAAGAAGGGGGAGGCTGAGGTGGGTGGATCACAAGATCAGGGGTTCGAGACCAGCCTGGCCAACATGGTAGAACCCTGTCTCTACTAAAAATACAAAAATTATTCAGGCGTGGTGGCCCATGCCTGTAATCCCAGCTATTCAGGAGGCCGAGACAGGAGAATCTGAACCTGGGAGGCGGAGGTTGCAGTGAGCCAAGATTACGCCCACTACACTCCAGCTTGGGTGGCAGAGTAAGACTCCATCTCAAAAACCAAACAAAAAGTAGCACACCCAATTTTATTTGAAATTAAACTTACTTACTTGAAATTAAAAAAGGAGGCTTGGGCATGGTGGCTCACACCTATAATCCCAGTACTTTAGGAGGCTTGAGGCAGGAGGATCACTTGAGCCCAGGAGTTCAAGACAGCCTGGGCAACAAAGTGAAACCCTGTCTCTATGATTGCTTGAACCCAGGGTTTCAAGGCTGCAGTGAGCTATGATGGTACCACTGCATTCCTCCAGCCTGGATGACAAAGCAAGACCCTGTCTCAAAAATAAAAAAGAGTGTGGACTGCAGCAAGAGCTTTCCTGAACCTAGCCGGCAGCAAGGAGAATGACAGGGCTGGGGAGGCCCTGCATTGTGAGCAGCCCTGTAGTTGCCTGTGGAGAAGAAAAGCCTGAGAGAACTCTCCCAGGCACCCATTCCCACCCTATTCCCACATATGATTCCTGCTGGCCTGGGACACAGTCCTGGCCCCGATCTCACAATGATCTACTTACAAGAGCTCATCAAGGAAGAATTCGCCTCATTAAGAAATTACTAATTAAAAGGGAACTGACTAAAAGGGAGTTAAAGATATTACAGGAACAGCAAATGACACATGAATACTTACCAGAAATTGTTGCCAGGGAATAGATGAAAATTGTAACATTTATCCATGAATATGTAAAATAAGTCAAAGCAGAGATAGTAAGACAATGGAAGGAGATAAAACAGGGGCTCTGGAACTATAGCAGGAGGAAAATCAGGCCATCATAGAAACAAGGCCACACTGGAGGTCGCACAGAGGTTCAACCCTGCTGAGGACTTGTCCTGAGTAGCAGAGCCCTACAGGGAGAGGAGGGCTGAAAGGCTCCAGGTACAAAGTGCTTCAGCTGCCCCATGAACAGAACAAAACATTTATTTTAAACGAATAGTTAAGCTGGGGGGAATAAAATAAGCCCCCCAGGGTAGACAGTGGGGACCTGTGCCTGGCTTAGTTTAAAGTATGGGAATAAAAGGGAGTCTTTCCTAAAAAATTATAAGATTGTACCTGGGTTACCTTATCTTTTTACAAAGAGAAGTAGAGACTAAGTATTTAAAAAGACAACCTACTAAAAAGAGATTCAGAGACATGGAAGAGAAAGAACATGCATCTATCAGAGTTCTAAAAGGGGACAGAGAGATGGGAGAAATCAGAGGGATCATGGTTATCAATGTGGAGGCTCAGGCCTGTAATCCCAGCACTTTGAAAGGCAAAGGCCAAGGCAGGCAGATACTCGAGGCCAGGAGTTCAAGAGCAACCTGGGCAACATGGTAAAACTCCGTCTCTGTTAAAAATACAAAAAATAGCCAGGTGTGGTGGCACATGACTATAATCCCAGCTACTCAGGAGGCTGAGGCAGAAGAATCATTTGAACCTGGAAGGCAGAGGTTCCAGTGAGCCGAGATGGTGCCACTGCACTTCTGCCTGGGTGACAGAGTGAGACTGTCTCAGAAAAAAAAATTTTTTTTTTTTTTTCTTTTTCCCCCAGAAATTGCTCCAGCCCTCAGAGCCAGGAAGTCAAATGAATCCTAAGCAAAATCTATACTTACTTATAGTAATACAAAGAAAGCTCTTAAAAGGCAGTGAAAGAGGGAGGAAAGTACGATCTCAATCCCATAAAACTGGATGTTGTGTCTAAATACATACAGGACCTAGAAGAACATGTCAAACTGTAAACAGCTGTGATTGTGGATGACTTTGTTCTTCTTGTGTTTCTCAGTTTCCTATAATGCAAATATTAACTTTTTAAATTTTTTATTTGAGAAAATCTCTTGCTCTGTTGTCCAGGCTGGAGTGCAGTGGTGCCATCATAGCTCACTGCAGCCTCAACCTCCTGGGCTCCCAAGTAACTGGGACTATAGATGCACATGCCATCAGACCCAGCTATTTTTTTTTTTTTTTTTTTTTTTTGCTTTTTGAGACAGAGTCTTACTGTGTCGCCCAGGCTAGAGTGCAGTGTCACCATCTTGGCTCACGCAACCTCTGCCTCCCGGGTTCAAATGATTCTCCTGCCTCAGCCTCCCGAGTAGCTGGGATTACTGGCATGTGCCACCACAGCCAGCTAATTTTTGTATTTTTAGTAGAAATGGCATTTCACCATGTTGACCAGGCTGGTCTCAAACTCCTGACCTCAGGTGATCTGCCTGCCTTGGCCTCCCAAAGTCCTGGGATTACAAGTGTGAGCCACAGGAGTGCCTTGCCTAATTTTTTTTGTATTTCTTATAGGAATGAAATCTCACTATGTTAGCCAGGTCTGTCTCAAACTCCTGGGCTCAAGTGATCCTCCTGCCTTGGCCTCCAAAAGGACTGGAATTACAGGTGTGAGCCACAGCGCCTGGCCTACATATTAATTTTTATTTTAAAAAATAAAGGGCGAGGAAAAATTGCTGCCAAAGGAATGAGTTTAACAGCAAACTCTCAACCATAATGGATGAAAACAATAAAACAATATATTCAAAGTATTCAGATAAAGGTATAATTTACATTTCTACATTAGAGAAAGTAT